CCGTTTTATGAACTGTGCTTCAGAAAGAAACAGGAAAGCAAACAAAAGAGAGGAAAATATAACAGAATTTAGGAAAGATCACAATATACACCGGAAGAATTCCAGTTTTTTCAGCAGCCAGTCGCTCAAAGCGATGCTTATTAACATATGAATCATTAACATTGTGGAGGCTGGAGAAGAACAGCCATGATACACAAAGCTCTGAGCACACACATGTTTACAAAGGGCATGGGTGTTTTCTGTCAGCCCCTCTCTTCCTCTGAAAAACAAATCAACAACAGCAGAGTCTGCATTCAATTCAAGGTCACGTTGTTGTCAGAAGAAAACCAGGCTTCTCGCACAGCTGTAATTCAACCCCACTGATATTTATCCATAAACATGTTGATGTGGAACATGTTGGGTTGTAAAAGGATGAGAGTTGGGTTGGGTGTGCTGCCCAGACAGTGATAAAAATGAGTAGAGACTTTTAATCTCTCCCTCCTGGCAATGGGAGTAATTACATACAGATTAACATGCCGTGTGTGTGTGTGTGTGTGTGTGTGTGTGTGTGTGTGTGTGTGTACGTGTCTATATTAAATACTGAAGATCAATGCCACATTTCCCACCTATTGCTATGGCTCCTGTAAGTTTCCCCTGAGTTCAGCACCTTGGACAGCGCCTGCAAGCTGCCACTCTTCGGCGCTGTTCCTGCCTCTACTTTCAGCATCATGGAGAGAGGCATGCTGCTGTGATGCACCAGCTGAGGGAAGTCTGCAACTAGACAGCTCAAGCCTTTAAAAGGCAGTGTTTTTCAAACATTTAGGGGTGCAGATCCGTCTATTGTTCTCTTGCGTGTGGCTTTTATTTCTTCTTAGTGCTTGTGTTCTATTGGAGAACTTATAGTAGTGAGACTGTCAGTTTACTGGGTTTTGGGAAGTTTCTTTAGATTTGGGTCTTCTTTGGTGCTTGACCAATAAAGTGCGGACATTAGTTGCAAAGTGAGGACATTTCACCTGGTCCTACTTGTTCTACTTTTAGATTTTAGGGGTGTGGTGTGATTTAAGTTTTAGTTCTGGTTAGGCATAATGCACTCACTAAATGAATGTAAATCAAATACAATCCTCACAACAACTAGTAAGATGAGAATAGTTGTGTGTGTGTGTGTGTGTGTGTGTGTGTGTGTGTGTGTGTGTGTGTGTGTGTGTGTGTGTGTGTGCGTGTGTGTGTGTGTGTGTGTGTGTGTGTGTGGCACATTTGAGAAGCAGCCGCTGGTTGCTTCTACCCACCAATCGGAAGCTCCACCTAACAGTAGGTGTGAATTAGAGCCAGCCAAAAAGACAAGGCTGCTTAGAGGTGAACACTTTAGAAGAAGAAGAAGAAGAAGAAGAAGAAGAAAATATCATTTCTACAGCGCCTCTCAAGATAAAAATCACGAGGCGCTTCACAAAAACAAAAAAATGTAAAAATATAAAAAAGCATTTAGAAAATGTTTAAAAATGTATTTAACATGAGCAAAAATAGACAATTATGATTAAAAAATGTTAAGAAAGAGAGAGAGAATAGGAAAGAGGGAAATCAGTGGATCCTGAGGAAGGTGGAATAGGTGGGGAGAGCAGAATAAAGAGAGAGTGGTGAAGAAGGTCATACAAAAGCCAGTTTGAACAAGTGAGTCTTCAGCTGCTTTTCAAAGGAGACCACTGAGTCCACTGATCTTAGGCTCAGGGGGAGAGAGTTCCAGAGTCTGGGGGCCACAGCAGCAAATGATCTGTCACCTTTGGTCTTTAGCCTGGTGCTGCACAACCAGCAGGCTTTGATCACTGGACTTCAGGGACCTGCTGGGGGTGTAGGGACTAAGAAGATCACCAATGTAAGATGGTGCTTGTCCTTGTAAGGCCCTATAGACCAGAACCAGGATCTTGAAATGAACCCTGAAGATGACTGACAGCCAGTGAAGCTGGAGGAGAAGCGGGGTGATGTGGGAGTGTTTGGAGGACTTGGTCAGAAGCCGAGCACAGGCATTCTGAACCACCTGTAGACGGTTCAGGGAGGTTCTGCTCAGACACGTGAAAAGAGAGTTACAGTAGTCTAAGCGTGAGGAGATGAAGGTGTGGATAACTGTCTCAAGTTCAGAGCGGGACAGAATGGGACTCAGCTTAGCAATTTTCCTGAGATGGAAGAAGGAAGAGCGAACAAGAGAACTGAGGGTGAGAGCTGGGTCAAAGGTCATGCCAAGATTCCTGACGGAAGGTTTGGTGTGAGAAGCAAGCTGACTAAGAGAGTCTCTGACTTTGGGAACCAGCTTGTCTGGGGCACCGATGAGGATCTCAGTCTTATCTTCATTCAGCTGTAGAAAGCTCCCAGCCATCCAGGTTTTGATAGAGTCTAAGCAGGTGTGTAACAGCTGCAGCTTAGACATCTCATGGGGCTTAAAGGAGATGTACAGTTGGATGTCATCTGCATAAAGATGGTAGGAGATTCCTTTGAAGGAGCGCAGGATGTGCTGAAGAGGAAGCAGATAGAGGAGGAAGAGCAGAGGCCCCAGCACAGAACCTTGTGGGACACCATGGGTAAGGGAGGTGGTGGAGGACCTAAACTTGGAGACGGCCACAGACAAGGAGCTGTCAGAGAGATAAGAGGAGAACCACTCCAGAGCAGATCCTGATAGGCCTACCCAGTCTCTGAGCCTCTCCAGTAGCAGGTGATGGTCAACAGTGTCAAAGGCTGCAGTCAGGTCCAGCAGGACCAGAACAGAACAGTCCCCTGCATCACTGTGAGTCAGAAGATCATTAGAGACCCTAAGAAGAGCTGTTTCAGTAGAATGAGCTCTACGAAAACCTGACTGGAAGCTATCATAGATGTTATGTTCATCAAGAGCAGCTGTGAGTTGTTTAGCCACAACCTTTTCCAAGATCTTGGAGATGAACGGAAGTTTGGAGATGGGTCTGAAGCTGCTATGGAGAGAGGGGTCGAGACTCGGGTTTTTAAGAAGCGGGTGGATTACAGTGTTCTTAAAGTAAGCAGGGACCTGACCAGAGACCAGAGAAGCATTAACTATAGAGAGCACGCTGGGACCGATGGACTGAAAAGCACTTTTAAACAAAGATGAGGGTAAGATGTCGATCGGGCATGCAGAGGTCTTCATAGAGTTAACTAGTTTGGTTAACTCGGGCAAAGAAACAGGAACAAAGCTATCTAGGATGATGGGCCTGGTTGGAGTCGGGAGAGGCGGCAATAAGGCTGAAGGAGAGATGCTAGATCTGACCTTATTGACTTTGTCCACAAAGAAAGACAGAACGTTCTCACAGTCTGTAACAGAGTGGATGGAGGCTGTAGGAGAGGCAGGAGACCCAATTTAAGCCTGCTTGATAGGAGATATTGGTAATCTGAAATGCATTTTCAGAGGGGCACACAGCATAAATCGATATCGGAAATTAAGATTTGACAACATCTGTACCTTTTTATCAGATATTGATAAAAAAGCCAACAAATAATAAAATCCAGTTTTAATAACATGACAACTTGATGGTTAATGTTAATATAACTACTTTGTAATACGTTTTATTTATAATTAAAATATATAACAATAAAACAGTAATAATAAAGAAATAAAGTTGTCACGTTGAGAGGATGGTTTGGACCCAAATGCAGTAACCCAGGATCACACGAGGCAGGAGTTGGTATAAAGTAAAAATCCTTTATTTAGGAGGAGAACCAAAATCCAAGGGGGCGAAGGCAAAAACACAGTAAGTAAACTAAGACAAAAAAATCCAAAAGCTCACATTCTGAGCAGAGAACTAAAGACTGAGACTAGAGACTAAAAACTGGAGACTGGAGACAAAACAACGCTGACCAAGAAATACAATGGACCGACAACAACACAGAGACAAGACAGGGCTTAAATAGACTGGGAGGAACAATTAGGGAAACAGGAAGCAGGTGTGTGGAGTGATGGCTGGAGGGAAGACAGGTGACAACAATTATCTAAATGGGGAAGCAGAACCAAAGGAGGGCAGATAAACACAAAACTGAACTAAAAGACTGAGGGAAGGACTCACACACACACACAATCACACCCAAATACACTCACACACACTGAACTGGGGAATGGACACGCACACACACACACACACACACACACACACACACACACACACACACACACACACACTGAGTTGGGGAATGGACATGCACACATCCACACACACAGAGCTGGGGACAAAGAGGCTGGAGCTACAACTGGAGGGGATGGGGATGATCGAATGCCTACAAACAGAAAACACATAAATGAGACGCAGACAAAGGACACATGAAGGCGCTATGAGACACAAAAGGGAATCTAGAGAGGGATGGAGAACACCAGGAGGCACATAAGGAAGGGGCAGATGCAGACCATGACAACATTGGGACCATACCACTTGTAGCTGTTTCACCAGAGGGCAGTAAACATGTGTAGGACTGGATACGGCAGGTTTTGGTGAACATGCTAATATCAATACTACATCTGGATACTTTAAGGTCAGAAATACTTTGATTTGAGTTTGTGAAAAATTTGTACAAGGGGATGACATTTGTGCAAATGTGTAAAATTTTGAGTGCTAAAGACATTTTGTCATGTCTTGATTGTGATTGAAGGAAGATTTTAAATTTGTGGGACGAAGGAACTAGAATGATCTATAGTGAGAAAAGTGTAATCAGGTGATTGTTTGTTCTATCTTGGAAAAGGATATCTAAAAAAAAGCACCTGAAGTAAATCTCAGCTTCTCATCACTTATTAATAGTGGTGAGTGCCGTTCAACAAGAGAACAGAGAAAAGATGTTGTAACAACATGTGAGACAGCATGTCGTTTATGTTTAGGTCATACTTACTTTTTGTTGAGCAATGCTGCAATTTGTCCCAATCTGCATTGATCTATTTCTCATAAAATCTGTGGTTGAGGAATCTTGCTTCATTTAAAAAGTCAAACTAAGAGATGAGGGTGTTAAATGATTCTGATTTACTCAAAGGGCAGATTGTAACTCACCAGTTTACGTTGACACCAGGTGCAGACGCCACATAGAGCTACCAGCCAAATGGCGCAGACTACGAATGCAACAGACAGCAGGAAGACACTGAGAGACACCGAGCCTGAGGAGAGACAAAGACAGAAAAGACGAGAGCATTAGAGCATTTCATGTAACACCCATCCTGCTGAGACTCCTGGGGGTCTCAAATCTAAGTTCCCAATGAACATTATGAATGGCGTTATAGCAGAACTCAGGAGCAACGCCTCCTTTCCTTCCTTTCTATTCATGTATCTCATATGGCGTCTTTTATCAGTAAGAGAAAAGACATAAAGGCCATGAAACAACTTCTTGTTCATGTTCCCTGCATGAAGTAATGGAGGATGCACATGTCAGGAAGAAATAATATCACGAGGCTAGAAGCCATGCAATTACCAGCCTCCGTTTCACCCTCCCCATCTCTAAAATCTCCTACATACTTTGTTCCCATCTTGTTGGGTGATTTATTTTCCGGAGCCTTCTAGTTGCTTTTCCATATCTTTCAATTACTGCTGTCCAACCATGACAGTCATTTACTTGTTTGCAAAGTAATTCAAAATGCAGCATCAGAAAGGCAAAATAACGGTGGCAAAAATGAGCTCCTAATCATTATGTTCTCTCGCTCTCTTCAGCTGCTCCTGAAAATCCTGACTTCTCCCCTCTGCTCCAGAAAGGGAACATTCTGGTGAGGGTTTGTAACGTATACTTTATGATTTATGTGTTTATTTTTTGTGACCTTGTTCCTGGGTTTTATATTGTGTGTCTCTGTGTCAGCAAAAGTTAAAATCATCTTGGGTTAAATTTGATTGCTTTTATTTTGTTGTCTCCTACACCTGGTTCTAGTTTTCAGCTTTACCTGAATTGTTTCTCTCATTTGGAATCAAGGATCTTCATTTGTCATTGTACCAGCGTCCCAGTTTCAGAACAACCCATCCGATTCGACAAAACAATAACAAGACAAGACACAACATAACAGAATCAGGCTGAACTGTGGGCATGCACATACCTCGCGCTCTCATTAGCAGAAGTCAAAACGAGTAACATGAGGAAAATACGGGGAGGGAGGAAAAGGCACTCCGGAATTACCTCTGATAAAGGGGTAGCTTTGCTGTGCTAAAAACATCTCAGAATAAAAGCAAAATGTAAGATGGTGCTTGTCCATGTAAGGCTCAAAACCAGAACCAGGATCTTGAAATGAACCCTGAAGTTGGCTGGCAGCCAGTGAAGCTGGAGGAGAAGCGGGGTGATGTGGGTGTGTTTGGAGGACTTGGTCAGAAGCCGAGCACAGGCATTCTGAACCACCTGTAGACGGTTCAGGGAGGCTCTGCTCAGACACGTGAAAAGAGAGTTACAGAAGTCTAAGCGTGAGGAGATGAAGGTGTGGAGAACTATCTCAAGTTCAGAGTGGGATGGGACTCAGCTTAGCAATGTTCCTGAGATGGAAGAAGGAAGAGCAAACAAGAGAACTGACGTGAGAATCCAGGATGAGAGCTGGGTCAAAGGTCACACCAAAATTCTTGACAGAGGGTTTGGTGTGAGAAACAAGCTGATTAAGAGAGTCTTTGGCTTTGAGTTCGACATAAGGTAGGGGGGAGGGCTGGAAACCCTCCTCACTTCAGAGAGAGCCGCAGCATCATCAGTGCACGTTCTCGATCACTGTCGTTCAGAGATGAGAGGGAGGTCTAGGGTGGGGTGGAGGATGCATTGACTCCCAGATGGTTTCATGGCCTTCATTGGGTCACAGATCCAACCAGGCTGGGGGGAGGGGAGGTTTCACAGCATCTGTCCACATTCCCTTTGTGGGGAATTTCCACTTCAGCCTCAGACTGAAGACTCAGATTATTGTAATGAATCAAAAGGGTCAATTTTCACCATCGAGTTGACACAGTAACCTTTCATGCACGCCAGAGCTGCAAAGTCAAGGTAACACCAGCTGGAGGATCCAGACGCACAGATCAACTTTTTGCTCGCTTATTGTTCTTCAACGCAGACATTAATAAACTGCCCAGGTCTCCCACAAAAGCCCTTTCCTCCCTTATCTCAGACTGCTGGATACCTCACTCTGAATAAAAAGTGAATCCACACAAATCCTACAAGGCTTTACAGCTCATAAGTTAAAAATCATATGTGATGAATGAGCAAGATGTTTAAATCAAATGTTTGAATAACCTGTGCTTAAATCAATTAATTTGAAATGAATATTGTTCTTACAATGATCCATTTATTTCCATGCTTTCGTTCTTTTTAAACACAGAAACAGTTTTGTTTACCTGTTTTGTAGCTACAGTTTCGCCGACGGCTGCCGGCTTCTTCAGGCTGACGCTGATGATGGCGCGTCACTTCCTTCTCCGTTTATCTGCGGAAGTGACGCGCCACCATCAGCGTCAGCCTGAAGAAGCCGGCAGCCGTCGGCGAAACTGTAGCTACAAAACAGGTAAACAAAACTGTTTCTGTGTTTAAAAAGAACGAAAGCATGGAATTAGAACCACGACACAGCAAGAACACACCTAAGATGATCCATTTATATCACAAATCACAATGTGTTTGATTTAACAAGTTCATTGTTGTTTCCACTCATACACATCACAATAAGATACATATTAACCCTTTGATGCATAATGGTCACTACGGAGGACAGGTACTCAAAATTGTTATTTATTGTTTTTTGCTATTAAGCACAGCTGTTGACGACTTTATTGCATTTGAGCCCCTCCATTTGGACTTCAATAAGTCAAGCCAACATATTTCATGTTCACTGAGGTGGATGTCACACTCTGTCCTGTATCCCTATTCTGTTCAGTCCTGTGGCCATGTTAATTGCTCCCACCTGCCTCTCATCTCCCAATCACCTGTAATGATTTAAATTACATGTCATTTAATAAGCCATAAGACAAAAAGATTCCATAGCAAATATGAAATCAACCTTATGGATCTGTGAGGTTATTTTAAACCAGAAGATTTGAACTTTTTATTGCAGGGATTAGATAACAGCTTCATATTCAATCAGAGACAACAGAAGAGAGAGAGTCAAGTTTGAAAGTTTAAAAATTTTTTAAAAACAAATTAAACTAGCAAGGTCCCAGCTCCTCCTGTATTTAAACCCTGTCAGTCCTTTTTGTCTTGTCGGTTAATTGTTTCGTTGTCCTGCGTGTTTATTTAAAAAACCTTTGAATGTCCCAGTCTGTTGCCTGCCTGCCTACTTCTCCTGCATTTGAATCCTCTCCTCCACTCTCCTCGCCCTCACATTGTGGCAGTGGAAATGTAATAAATTATTTGTAAATTATTAAACATTACAAAAATGTTTGTTGAAATTTGTTTCATTCACACCCAAAGATGAATGAAAAAAATTATAAAAAAAATCATGGTTGAAGATTTCATAATTCATGCAACAAAGGGTTAAAGTTAAAAACATTTTTGTATCTGAAGGAAGGCGTGGCTTTCTGAGGAATGTCCAGACGTGACACATTCTGATTTTCCAGAATGGCCAGAAATCCTAACCTTGTGGTTTAATAAAACAGGAATTACTTTCTGAGTAATTCAGTTTTGAGCAGAGTTCTGAACCGGCCAATTCCAAACAAGTATCCGTGAGACATCTCTTTTGACATACAGTCAAAACCTGTTTGCAAGCTGCAAGCTGACACAGCCAGACGGCTCCCTAAGAGCCACATCCACTTTGGACGCAGACAAGCATTCCAGCTACTGTTGTGACCTGGAGACATCTCAAGACTGGATGGGTCATATCGGAGTTTAATCTACGAAATCCCGGTGGCGGGAGATCCACTCGACTTCTGACAGTCCGGATCTGCTGGGGGTAGGGCTGGGTGATGTGACGATTTTAGACCGTTTTACGATCTACACATCTGACGGTCTGTCATTTTTGAGAGACCTTTTTATCACGATTCACAGGTCTGCTGTTGAAATTCTGCCTCTGGATGAAAAGGGAACTTACCCCAGGCGAATGACACGCCTTTGTTTGACCCTTAACCAATCAGAGTGAGTCATAGTAATATATTAGTGCCCCGCTTGTTTTCACCTGCGTGTGAACAAACATGGCTTCAGCCGCGGCTGAGAGCGACAACGAGGTTTTCGTTCCGAAGAGGAACGCCTCGTTCATTATATGGAACTGGTTTGGTTTTTCACCAGATGACAAAGGGCAGCGAAACGTCATTTGCAAAGTTTGCAAGGAGAGCGTCAAGGCAAGTGATGGCAACACCACAAACTAGTTTAATCACTTGAAAAGAAGGCATCCCAAACAATACAATGAGAGCCAGCTGGCAGCTAAAGCTAAAAAGCCTGCGGCTACAGCGGCAACGGCTAGTGCTTCTTCCAAGCAGCAAACGCTAGCAAACACTCACAAAACTCACTCCTTACGACAGAGACAGCAGACGATGGAACAGCGTGACAGATGCAGTGACGTACCACTTGGTTAAAGATTTGTGTCCCGTGCGAACAGTAGGAGTGGGATTTAAGAAAATGATAAAAACATTGGATCCGCGCTACGAGTTTTCCAGCCGCAAGTATTTTTCGAACACCGCCATTCCACGCATGTACGCTGAATGCAAAGTGAGCGTTGCAGAAAATATTCAGAATGCGCAGTTATTTGCTACCACAAGCGATCTCTGGTCCAGCCGCACATCAGCGCCGTATTTGAGCTTACAGTTTTTCTCAGTTGCTTTGGTGCATTTCTCACAACAGAATTAAACTTTGCACAACAGTTAGTTCAACCTCCACAACAAGTAGTCGTTTTGGCACAACCTAGTGGCGGTTTCACATTCATTTCGTCTCTCCACTGGTTGCCCGTGCAGTTCAGGATAAACTTCAAAATTATGCTTCTCACTTAGAAATCCTTGAACCATCAAGCTCCTCCATATCTGTGTGAACTTGTCCATTACTACAACCCGCCGCGTGCTCTCAGGTCTGAAGATAAGCTCCTCCTAGCTGTTCCGAATTCACGTTTAAAAAGCCGTGGAGAAAGGGCTTTCTCTGTCTGTGCACCGAAGCTGTGGAACGCATTACCACTGCTAGTGAGGCAAGCACCAACAGCTAGCATTTTCAAATCACGCCTGAAAACTCACTACTTCAACC